TCAAATTATCCAGTTCATACTTTTTTTTAAAAAAAAAAAAAATACATCTTTATTGATTTCAGAGAGAGGAAGGGAAAGGGAGAGAGAGAGATAGAAACATCAATGATGATAGAGTCGTCATTGATCGGCTGCCTCCTGCATGCCTGTGACTGGGGATTTTGCCCACAACCCAGGCATGTGCTCTGACCCGGAATCGAACTGCGACCTCCTGGATCCTAGGTTGATTCTCAGCTGCTGAGCCATGCCCAGCTGGGCCCAGTTCATATTCTTAAAACCACTATATTCTACCAACATCCCTATGGGGAAGGGGCAGAGTAACCTCTTTGGTGACCTTGAAGATCCTGTCTCTTTAATTTTTTATTTATAACCAACCACCTCAGCTGGTAAAGAGGATTTAAGATAGTTTGCTGAGTTTTTTTTTTTTTTTTTTTTTTTTTTTTTTTTTTTTTTTTTTTTTTATTTTTTTTGTTTTTTTTTTTTTTTTTTTNNNNTTTTTGCTAGTTTCTCAAACATGCCTTGAAATTAACAGAATGTCTGATCTATTTTTTACAGGTTATGTTGCATATACCTCTGCAGTAGGAAATAAGTCAACATGTTTTATGAACATTGTTCCCCTTATTTGCAGGAAGATATTTTATAGTTTGACTCTTTCATTCTCAATGGTCTTAGACAAGCTGGTCAATTTGGAAAACACTTTTGTTTTACCTGTCACTTTATGGGCAGTGAAGTTGAATTGATCAAATGCAAATCAAATAAATTAAGTTTAATTTGCATGCCTCAATCCACTCACGAGAAGCAGCATGGGGAAGCTAGAGTGTTAAGGATTAGAAACTAATTCTCTATGCTCAGCCTATGATGAGGCTGACAGATGCTCACTGCAGATATGACACGTGCATATTTTATCTGAAAATTGTCTTTTGCAAGGAGTTTGTTACAAGCCTTCTTACTGGTGCTCATGAAATGACAGTGTTGCAATCAAGTTTCCCAAGCGATGTGACAGCCATTAAATGCACAATCCATGGGGAGGGAAGATTAATAGCACTGAACATTTGGAGGAAAAATGGAAGATGCCACATTGGATCTGGGGACTCTGATGTTATTGATGGGCTATGCTCAGTTGCTCCAAGAGGCAAGAATGTTTTTTGTTTAACTCTCTTCCTACATTTGAGACCACATCTTCAATTGTCTCTTCTGTGGATGTACCTATCACCCTCAGAGACTAATCATACCAAAGAGAACTCATCACTCTTTTTTATCTCTTGTTGGGCTTCTGTTAGTACTGATGGCTTTCTGCTCTTTCTCATTGGCTTATCCCTCAAAATCATGGTCACTCCCTTTTCTCTTCCTCTCATGGATTGTCCCTTTTCACTCCCCCACACCTGGCTTCTCCTTTGTCACTAATCCTAACTCCAGAACTTCTCTGATCTAAGCATTCTTACTGCTAGAACCCAGTCTTTCATACTCAGAGAGATGAAAAGTATTAAAAGCTGATCATCTTTTTCAGGCTCTCTGCCTTTAAGATCATATGTTATATAACTTGGCTATATTTCTCCATCCTAATTTCTGCACCATCCAGGCATGTCCTTATTCTGACATGCAATTCTACCAAATTCATTCTCTCTGCCTTTGTGAGCTTATTCCCTCCACCTGAACTATTTTTGCCTCTTGTATATGTTCATGTAAAATATAACCATCCTTTAAATTTTCTTCCATGAAACCTAGCTATCTACTATAATCTACTGTACTGTACTTGATACTATCTACAATAACTCTTTAAAATAGGTACTTATGTATATATTATATCTATACTATAGAAATGCTTCATTTAAGAATCTCCTCTCCTCATTGGATTGTAAATCTCTTGAGACAGGAACTGTGGCTTACATTTCCCCTGAGCTCTCACAGCTCCTAGCAGAGTGCCAAGCTTAGGCAGTTTCACCTTTCAGGCTGGTGACAACCTAGACATTGTTTACTACAATATACCAGTGTATCTCTGGAGCAACCATTGAACATCTTTGTATAAAAGTGCTTAAATATGTGTGAATTTTTTGATTTGCTGTTTTGTTGTGAGGTTGGGTTTTTATCACTTAGCTTGGAAAAAAGGATTCCATCTGTGGCAGAAGGCACTGTGTGGATGTTGCAGGTATTTAGAGATTTGCTAAGGAAACTCATCATCTGTAAATTTCAAGTTACATTAAGCTAGCAACTACCTTTGAAAATATATCTTTTTTTCCCCCCTCACTAGAGGATATGCCTTTTTTTTTTTTTTTTTTTTTTTTAATTATTTTGGAGAGCCAAAGAGAGAGAGAGATTAATGAGAGAGAGAAACACCAATTGGTTGCCTTCTGCACAGGCCCGGCTGGGGAATGAACCTGCAGCTTTTCGATGTACCAGATGCTGCTGCAACCAACTGAGCCACACCATGCAAGGCCCTTTGGAAATATCTTTTCGGAGGAGGGATCTTGCTATCTGCTATAGACTGAATATTCATGTCCTCTCAATATTCATATGTTGAAACCTAATGCCCAATGTGACAGTATTAAGAAGTGGGGTGGTTTTTTTTTTTTGTTTTTTTGTTTTTAATATATCTTTATTGATTTTGGAGAGAGGAAAGGAGAGAGAGAGACAGATAGAAACATCAATGATGAGAGAGTCATTGATCAAGCCCACAACCCGGGCATGTGCCCTGACTGGGAATCGAACCCCGATCGCCTAGATCCTAGGTCGATGCTCAACTGCTGAGCCATGCCCGGCTGGGCAAGAAGTGGGGTCTTTAAGAGGTCCTTAGGTCATTATAGTAAAGCCCTCATCAATGGGACATTGCTCTTATAAAAGACATACCATAGAGCCCCTTCTGCCATGTGAGGACACAGTAAAACATGAATGTATCTGAACCAGGAAGTGGTTCTTTGCTAGACAATGAATCCTCCAGAGACTTGATCTTGGATTTCCCAGCTTTCGAAACTGTGAGAAATAAATGTTTATTGTTTATAAGACACCCATTTATAGTATTTTGTTATAGCAGCCCTAATGAACTAAGACACTATCTTTATAGGACTCAAATGAAAATTTACCTTGTTCTTATAGCAAGAAAAGCTATGAGGCTGTGTGCTTCAAGTAATAACACATTGCTATTTGATAGTTTCTTTGCTGAGAAGAGGCAGAAAATATAAAGATAGGAAACTGAAAAGGAGAAACTGTCTTGCCTACTCATTTCTCATTCTAGAAGTCCTTCTTTGAAATCTTAAAGAGAAACTGGGGACAAATAAAAGCTTTTTCCACCTGAGAAAAAGAGCCCATGGCTCTTTTGTTGGTTAGGCAAATAGAAATCTTGAGGCCAAGTGCTAGTCAGGAAGAAATTTGATTTAAAAATAAATATTTAAAGTAAAATGTATCTAATTATAGTCTGAGGATGGAACCAAGCTTTAGTTCAACTATAGCTGATTAAGGAATTATTTTGAAAGACAGTAAATTATATATTTAATTTTTTAAAATGATGTTATGTGCCTACTATTTAAGCATATCTGAACATATTAAGATAGACTAGCAAAGTTTAATATTCTTTATAAAATTTAAAGTACTGGAAAGCCACATTTCTTTTTCTTTTTTTTTGTTAATCCTCACACAAAGATATTTTTTCCATTGCTTTTTAGAGAGAGTGGAAGGGAGAGGAAGAGACAGAAACATCAATTGGTTGCCTCCCACACGCAACCCCCAACCAGGGCCAGGGATCTGGCTTGCAACTGAGCTATGTGCCCTTGACCAGAATTGAACCTGAGACCCTTCAGTCTGCAGGTCAATGCTCTAACTACTGAGCCAAACTGGCTAGGGTGAAAAGCCATATTGTTTGTTGTAATATAAGGTAAGTACACTTAGTTTAAAGTTGATCAATCAAACCACTTACCCAAGGAACTTACTGCCACCTGTTGTTCATGTATCTGAATTACATGAAAAGTGCCTAAAGGGTATTTGAGTCTCTTGATGGTTGAACTACATAACTAAATATATAAAGTGTCCAGGCTGGTGTGGCTCAGTTGGTTGGGCATTGCCCCATGCACCAGAAGGTTGCTGGTTCGATTCTCAGTCAGGGCACATGCCTGGTTTGTGGGAGAGATCCCCAGCAGGGGGCCTGCAGGAAGCAGCCCATCAATGATTGATGTGCTCTCACATTGATGTTTCTCTCTCTCCCTCTTCCTTCCTCTCTCTCTAAAAATCAATTTTAAAAAATCTTTAAATATATAAAATGACATTTGTTATTTATACTGACATCTCAGTAGCTATGGATCACAACCTTATGAGACATGTGGATATGTCATTCTTAAATGAGACATGATATTTAAAGACACAATCATGACAAGAGGAAGAAAGCTTGGATTTTATTCCAATTTGAGAAAGTCACTTAACTTTCTGAAACTTAGTTTCCTCATCTATCAAATTAAATGATTATAATGATTGCCCTTCCATACAGATATTTTATGAGAATCCAACTGGAGACTATTGTGTGAAACTGTTTTGCATAATTGTACATAGCATATGCCTACTCAGGCTTATGTACAGTGATGAATAGCAGATAAAACAGAATGCTGTCATACACTCAATGCATATTAAAAGGCTTACCTGCTTTCTTCTAATACCAGGTTAAGTCTCCTTTTGTTTGCCTTGTTTTATTCCAATATCTTGAGAGATTCTATGTGGTTAGTTACCCCTAAAGCCATCAACATGATATAAGGTTTTCCAGAATCTTCCCTAGCCAATAAATACTACTTCCCAATCCTCATGATTATACAGACTCCACAATGCCTTTACCTATGCTTTCTGCAGGAAGGTGAAATAGGTATCTACATTTCGGGGCCGTAGTTAATTAAAGAAGAGTTATGAGCCCTGGATTCTTGCTTGATCTCTGCCAGTCTCTCATTATGCAACCTTTTATGTCATTTAACTTTTTTTTACGCCAGTATTTCCTCATATATAAAATGGAAATAATAATCTTTGCTTCTTACCTGCTTCACAAAGATCATGTGGTAGGCTGATAATTGGGCCAACCCTAAAAAAAAAAAAAAATGCATGTTCTAATCTCTGAAACCTGTGAATGTTACTTTAGAAGGCAAAAAAGAAGCCTTTGTAGCCCGGCTGGGCATGGCTCAGTGGTTGAGCGTCGACATGGGATCCAGGTAATTGGGGCTCGATTCCCGGTCAGGACACATGCCCAGGTTGCGGGCTCGATCAATGACTCTCTCATCATTGATGTTCCTATTTCTCTCTCTCCCTCTCCTTTCTTCTCTCTGAAATCAATAAAGATATGTTTGTTTTTTTTAAAAAAAGGAAGCCTTTGCAGATATGATTAAATTAAGAATTTAAAAAAATTTTATCTTTATTATTGAAAGTATTACAGATGTCCCCTTTTGTTTCCCCCATTGAAGCCCTCCACCCTGCTTCCACTCCCTCCTCAAGCCTTCACCACACTATTGTCTGTGTCCTTGGGTTATGCATATATGCATATAAATTCATTGGTTAAGGGGGAAGAGTCCTCCCCCCCTTCCCTCTGAAATATGACAGTCTGTTGCTTGCTTCAGTGTCTCTGGATCTTTTTTTATCAGTTTATTTTGTTTATTAGATTCCACATATAAGTGAAATCAGAGTATTATGCTAAGAGAAATAAGCCAGTCAGAGAAAGATAAATTAAGGATTTTAAGAAGAGGAAATTATGGTGGATTATTTGGTAGACTCTTAATACAACCACATGTATCCTTACAAGACAGAGAGATTTGATAACACACAGAAAAGGAAGAAGTAATGTGACCACAGAGGCAGAGATTGGAGTGGTGTGGTTATAAGCCAAGGAATTCTGGCACCAAAAGTTGGAAGAGTCAAGGAACACAAAATTCTCCCCTGGATGCTCTGGTGGTAGTATAACCCTGACACTACCTTGATTTTGGCCCAGTGATGCTAATTTCAGCTTCTGATATCCCAAACTTTGAGAGAATAGATTTTTTTTTTTTAAAGCCACCAATTATGTGATAATTTGTCATACTAGCCACAGAAAATTAATACAGATGGTATAAGTATGAAAGGCTTTTGGTGCATAGAAAATAACTAATGAATATTAAACTGAACCCAAATAAAATGACAGATTAAAAGTATGACATGTCATTTGTTTGTAAGGAGTAGTTATCATATTTAGGCTCCTTATTGTTTATTTTTGGGAATTCATGTTTAGTTAGTGAAAATATTGCTCCAATGATGCTGGGTTGTTTAGTCAGTGGAGGCATAGATTTTCAAGAGGGTGCTAGAGTAGGTGGATCTTTCTAGCACCTCCTCCCTGAACCAAACTGGAAGTAAAAATAAATTGGGGAACAATTACCCTGAATTACCAACTGAAAATAATCTGAAGTGAAAACTTTTAACCAAAGACTGGCAGAGGAGGCCACCTCAAGATTGGGAGGAAGGGTGGAGATACAAGGGGCCTGGCCCCACTCCCACAGACAGCAGCCCAACATTACAGAGGGATCCCTCAGCTGTTGAAGGTTCCCCCTGAGAGCTATGAAGCCTAGACCCCAGATCAGGCTCCCCAGTTCTGAGCACCAGAAGCAGGAACAGGTACCTGCATAGTATCCAGCTGTGAAAGGTGGCGGGAATTCTGCCTGGCAAGGAGAGGCTGAGCCAGCTGGAGAAAAAGCCACTTTTTTAAAGGGCTAATGTGCAAAATTTTCATTTGTAACCACTCACCCTGGGCTTTGGTGGGGGGTGAGGTGGGCAGTAAGCACTGGAGTTGCCTGAAGAGAGTCTGGAGTGGGTGGATTTGGGGAGAGACACTCTTGAGCAGCTGCAAGGATCCTTGTGCTGGATCATCCTCTGATACCAGCAGCCATTTTTCTTGAGAGGAACAAACCCCTCCAAGCAGCATCAGCCTGGAGAAAAGCAACTACCACACCCTCTGGAAACCTACTTGTCCCACCCTGCATCTTAAACCCTGCTAAGGATACAGCTGCATAGGCCAGGGCATAAAAGACTGGGCAGACTCAAGGGTGTCATTTACTGGCTTTGTGGCAGGGCCATTCTTCCTATTTTCCCAGGAACCTGACTTGTGCTTCCCCTTTATGGGAGAGCCAATAGAAACACCCTCCTGGCTTCTAGCAGACCCAACCTCTGGGCTCCAGAGGTCCCACCAGCCAAACTACTAGGGGCTCTGCCCTACTGAGCTTCAGAAAGGCTGCCTAGGGCCTGGCAGGGAGGGCATCTGACAATGGCTTGCACCAGAGAACCTCCTGGGAGGCCTTGGAACAGAACACAAAGTGACCAACTTCAGACAACATTGGTGGGTTTTGCATCACATCAGAGCTTCACCCAGGTAGACACATAAGTGGTACACCCAAAAGAAGATTTCTGTAAGCACCAGACCCTGTTGTGAACAACATTGCCTCAGAAGGAAGCCCCTGCATGGAGACTCATAGATGGTGATCAAGGTTTATCTTTATGGTCACCCAGCCTGAAACAATAACTATATCCATAGAAGGGCCAACAGCATTCAAGACTCAATGACAACAGGAGGGTTCACATAACCCACAAAAAACATTCCTAGAAAACTAAGCTCAGGTGATCTGGAAGACTGTGCCACTGAGCCCAACAAGACACCTATCATAAAGTCATCATAACAAGTTTGGGAGACATAACAGATCTACTTAATACACAGAAACACAATAGGGGACAGAGAAATATACCCCAAATGAAAGAACAAGAGAAATCCCCAGAAAAAGAATTAAATGAAGTGAAAGCAACCAAAATACCAGATGAAGAGTTTAAAACAATGGTTATAAGGATGCTGAGTGACCTTAGGGGAAGAATGGATGATCTTAGTGTGAACTTAAACAAAGAAATAGTAAGCATTAAAAAAATATAGAAACCATAAAAAAGAACCAGTCAGAAATGAAGAACACACTGGAAAGAATCAACAGCAGGTGCAATGAAGCAGAAGACCAAATCAGTGATTTAGAGGACAAGAGAACAGTAAACACCCAAGCAAGGCATCAGAAAGAAAAAAGAATTTTAAAAAATGAGGATCCTGGCCAGTGTGGCTCAGCAGTTGAGCATCAACCTACGGTCCAGGAGATCGAGGTTCGATTCCTGGTCAAGGCACATGCTTGGGTTGCGGGCTCAATCCCTGGTGGAGGGCATGCAAGAGGCAGCTGATCAATGACTCTCTCAACACTGATGTTTCTATCTCCCTCTCTCTTCCTCTCTCTGAAATCAATAAAGATATATTTTTTTAAAAATGAGGAAAGTCTAAGGAACCTCTGGGACAACATCAAGTGTAACAATATCAGCATCATAGGGGTGGCAGAAGAAGAAGAGAGAGAGCTAGGGACAGAGAAACTGTTTGAAGAAACATGACAGAAAATGTCCCTAACCTGTTGAAGGAAAAAGTCACACAAGTTCAGGATGCACAGAGAATCCCAATCAAGATGAACCCAAAGAGACTGACACCAAGACACATCATATTTAAATTGGCAAAGGTTAAAGACAAAGAGAGAATCTTAAAGGCAGCAAGAGACAGTTACCTACAAGGGAGTTCCCATAAGGTTATCAGCTGATTTCTCAACAAAAACACTATAGGCCAGAAGGAAATGGCATGAAGTATTCAGAATTATGAAAAGTAAGGATCTGAAACCAAGACTACTCTATCCAGCAAGGCTATCGTTTAAAATTGAAAGTGAAATAAAGAGCTTCGAGGGAAAAAAAGGGTAAAGAAGTTCATTACCACTAAACCAGCATTGCAAGAAATGTTAAAGGGACTGCCTTAAGAAGAAAAAGAAAGAGAGACAGGAACATAGGCATAAAGAATAAAAATGGCTACAAATAAGTACTTATCAATAATAACCTTAAATGTAAATGGATTAAATGCTCCAATCAGAAGACACAGGGTAGCTGAATGGATGAGAAAACATGACCTATATATAATATGCTATCTACAGGAGACCCACCTGAGAGCTAAAGATTCAGACAGGCTGAAAGGGAAGGGATGGAAAAAAATATTCCATTCAAATGGAAACAAAAAGAAAGCTGGGGTAGCAATACTTATACCTGACAAAATAGTCTTCAAAACAAAGGCCATAACAGGAGACAAAGAAGGCCACTACATAATAATAAAGAGGTTGCTCCAATAACACTGGTAAACATATATGCACACAATATAGGAGTACTGAAATATATAAGAAAACTCTTAGTGGACATTAAAGGAGAGATCAACAGCAATACAGTTATAGCAGGGGACTTTAACACTCCACTGGCAGCCCTGGATTGAACTTCCAGACAAAAAGCAACAACAAAACAGCTACCTTAAAAGGAACACTAGATCAGATAGACTGAATTGGTATTTACAGGACATTTCATCCCAAAGCAGCAAAATATACATTCTTCTCAAGTACACAAGGAACATTCTCAAAGATAGACCACAAGTTAGGAAACAAAATAAGTCTTATCAAATTCAAGAAGATTGAAATCATGTCAAGCATCTTCTCGGATCACAATGGCATGAAACTAGAAATAAACTACAATAAAAAACTCAAAAACATTCAAACACATAGAGACTAAATAGCATGTTATTTAACAATGAATGGGTCACCAGTGAGATCAAGGAAGAGATAAAAAAATTACCTGGAAGCAAATGAAAATGAACACACAACACTACCAAATCTATAAGACACAGTGAAAACAGTCCTGAGAGGAAAGTTGATAGCATTACAGACCTATCTCAAGAAATAAGAAAAATCTCAAATAAACAATCTATTACTACAACTAAAAGAACTAGAAAAAGAATAATAAGAAAAGCCCAGAGTAAATAGAAGGAAGGAAATGAAATAAAGATCAGAGTGTAAATAAATGATATAGAGACAAAAAACAAACAAACAAATAAAAATCAATGAAACCAAGAGCTGGTTCTTTGAAAAGATAAACAAGACTGATGAACCTTTAGCCAGACTCATCAAGAAACAAAGAGACAGGACCCAGGTAAATAAAATCAGAAATGAAAGAGGAAAAGTTACAACT